ATGCCTTTTTCCTGTCTTATTGCTCTGGCTAGAACTTCCAGTGTTATGTCGAAGAGCAGTGGCGACAGTGGGCACCCTTTTCTTGTTTCTGATCTCAAAGGAAAGGCTTTCAGCTGTTCTCCATTGAGGATAATATTGGTTGTGGGTTTATCATATATGGCTTTGGTCAAGTTGAGGTATGTTCCTTCATTTTCGAGGATTTCAAGGGCTTTAAACATAAATATGTGTTGAACTTTGTCAAAAGCCTTCTCCACATCTATTGATATGATTATGTGGTTTTTATTCTTCTGTCGGTTGATGTGATGGATTACATTAATTGACTTTCTGATGTTGAACCATCCTTGTGATCCTGGGATAAAGCCCACTTGATCCTGGTGTATTATTCTTTTAATGCATTGTTGGATTCTGTTGGCTAAGATTTTGTTGAGGATTTTTGCATCGGTGTTCATTAGGGAGATTGGTCTGTTGTTTTCTTTTTTGTGTTTTGTTAGGTTTTGGTATTAGTGTGATGTTGGCTTCGTAGAACATTTGTGGTAGTTTTCCTTCTTTTTCAATTTTTAGGATGAGTCTGTGTAGAATAGGCACTAGTTCTTTTCTGAATGTTCAGCAAAATTCATTTGTAAATCCATCTGGTCCTGGACTTTTAACAAATGACTTTTCTATATCTACATTTTAAACATAGATTCACCTCCATTATAGTTGTAAATTATAAATATTTCGGCTTTTAATGTACTAGCCTGATTTATTTGATGCTGACTCTTGGTTGTGACTGTAATTCCTAATTTACTATTAATTCACAAATTATTCTTATAGTAAAATATGATAGATGCTTTCAAGGAACTGTGGTAGAAGTGGGGACAGCCTGCAAAATTATAGTGAATAACATTAAAAAAAAAATACTACTTCCAGTTTTTAAATTGGAAAACAAGTGTTAATGAATATTAATGTCCTATTAAAAATCAGTTGCTTATTCAAGCATTATAGTAAACTAGTTTCAGACAAATCTTCAAAATAATTGAAAGAATAGTAATTCACATATAGCCAGACTCCCAAGGCAGAATCTAGGACCTCACTCTGAGGGGTAAATGCCAAAGCAGAATATTTAGAATCCTGATACTAAAATTCTGACACTTCAGATCATTAGAATGCAGGGTGTGAGGTGTGAGGAGTTCTCTTTGTGATATTGCTTTAATGCACATTCTCATGTTCATTACTGCTTAACACCTCAAAACCACCAAGTACTCCAAAACCAATATTTTGACTTTACTGGAAAAAACCCTGGCTATACAAATCTAACAGAGAAAAATCCTTGAGATTTCTGGAATGCTTGCATGTGACAGTGGACATTTAATGACTGACCAACATTTGGGTTTAGGTAGCTTTAAACAAACTGCAAACTGAACATTTCAGAGCTTCAAAAGGAGGGAAAGTCAGGATTTTTAAAAATGCAGCATGCCCAAATGACAATCCTCATAATTCATAAGTAAGTAACAATGAATGTGCAACTATAGTATGTACTCTACAAACAGCCAGAAGTTTACTATATACTCAGAAGTATATAGTTTTTAGAAAAGTTTCTATATATAATGAAGTTACACTACTGTGGGTTTTGAACAATTTAGGGAGGCTTGCTTGATTTTCCTGAAAATATCAAATATTGCCTGTACTCTTATATTATTTGCTAATGAAAACAAATGATTGCTATATAGTGATGAAGGCCGAGTATTTGGAATAGACATGTAGGAGTTACCTGAATAATTTGGGCGGCAAGCTCAGGAGTCCCATGTTTCAGGTCCTGTCCATTGATGGCGAGTACTCGGTCGTTGCTGCTCAACCGCCCATCCTGAGCAGCCAGCCCCCCTTCCAATAGGTCAAGAATAAAGACGCCTGGCTCGTCTGTCCTTCGTACAAGTTTAATACCGAGCTGTTCACCAGAGTCCCGTTTATGGAGAACCACATGGAATATGTCTTCTCGTGGTGCATTGCTGTCAGAATGGCTATAAGCTCGGTTGCCAAAGCGTCTTTCTCTGAGTACGGTGAGATGCAGCGTATTGCAAGGTTGGGAGAGGACAGCTCTCGCATAGTTATGGGACACATTGCTGATATCATAGTTGTTCACCTAGGAAAAAAAAATTAAAACCAAAGTATGACAATCTCTTACTTTCCCAGTTTGTAGAGATGTTGGGAAAACATCACCAAAGGAAAGTACATTTTGTGAAAATTCTATGCAATCATTATTTGCAAAGAAAACCCTCTAAAAACTTTTCAAAAGACTGAGCTCCTCATATTGGTTTACAATGACCAGCATCAAGTAGAGAACAGTAGTTAGGACCACAGGTTTTAAAGACAGACTTAAATTAGAACCCTTGGTTCTGCTGTGCCCTATCTGGATAACCTCAGGTAAACTACAGAACTTGTGTTTCCTCATCTGTAAAATGTGTTTACTATATACTTCATAGCATCAGGATGAAAATAAACACATACCATTAGCATATGACAAGTGCTAATGAAAGACTAGTTTAGTGGAGTAAAAGTTAAAGTTACAAATGAAATACAATTATGCTAAAGAAAATAAATTTGAGGGCTTTCCTGGTGGCACAAGGGTTAATGTGCGGCATTATGAGGCTGTCTGCAGCCACTGCAGAATGAGTTGGATCTCCAGCCAGGGAGCTGACCCACATAGCACAAAAGACCTCTCCTGTCCAGCATGTATTGCTCCCCTCAACAGTGTATTTCATTCAATCTGCCTGTTCTTTTCCCTACTATATCTCTGGTGAATCCTTTCACTCCTGCACCTCTGGTCTGTACCCCAGTTCTTGTATGCATAAGTAAATGAATCTTAAAAAAAAGAAAAGAATTTGAGTTTTATATTTTTTAAAAATTGATGTTGATGTAGTTTTTTCAAAAAAGATTTATTTATTTATGCATATAAGAACGGGGCATAGGCCAGAGGTGTGGGGGATGTGAGAGGATCACCAGAGACAGAGTGGGAAGCAGTAGAGGCGGATCTACTGAAATATACTGCTGAGGGGAACAGTGATTGAAACAGGAGAGGTCTGCTGTGCCATGTGAGTCAGCTCCCTGGTCAGCCAGAGATTGAACTTGTGCTGCAGTGGTGGGCAATAGCTTGACAGCACTATCTTTAATCCCTGAGCCACAAGGAAGGCCACAAACTTGAGTTTTATATTAAGGAAAGTGGTACATTCTAGTATACAAACGGATTTTAGATGTGTAACTTTTACTTTAAAGAAAAGCAAATAATCATTAATTTTACTCTAATTCCATTGTATTTACCTAATACAATAAGTATAATTCAAAGTATTTACACTTGTTAAACTTTATAATCTTGAAATAAACATAATGAATGATACTTGGCCAGGTGCTATCAGAAAATATATCTAGCTTCAATTATTCACCTAGTTGGAGGACAAAGTTAATACAATTCATAGTATTTATCACAGTAAGAAAGTCAGTCTGTCCTAGATGAACTGGAGAGACCAACATCTTCTGAACAACTTTTAGTGACAGACTTTAGTGTTTGTATTCACACCTAAAATTCTTAACATTTTTCACTTTAATCCACATTATGCAAAGCATTGCCCTTACTTGTTTGACAGTTTTAAACACTATTAACTTGAATTTTGTTAAGGACTTTGACCCATGGACATCTTTTAATATTCAGTCATCAAATTCATTAATGTAATACACAAATTTGTCTCCCTAGTTGATAACATGAATTTATTATTAACAAACAAATCCTTGATAAAAGTGCTTAATAACATAGGGTCAAGAATAGAACTCTAAGGCAGTTTCTAAGAAAGCCAGCCTGACATGGAGTCACTAGTCAAAAGTCATCATTTCTCACTATTCAGCTAAAAAGCTACCTACCTCTAGATTCACATTGTCCCATTTAATGAAATTTATCACAAATGACTTTATAAAATATCTGGCTGAAATCTAGCTATAATCATGTGTAAGCATACAGCTTCATATCATCTTTGTGAAGTAGGTAGCCTACAATTGGAAAAGGATTTCTTTTTATGAATTATGGTTGCCAGTGAAATTTAGAGAAAGCAGAGACCAATAAAATACTGTTTTTAGACTCTGTAAAAATAGCACCAGCATAGTAAATTCTACCACTTTAACTAAACAAATAAAATTAATACATGAGGCCTCCCTAGTGGCCTGGGATTAGTTTCAGTGCTATGTCGGAGAAGACCTGAAATAAACAGTTCTTTCTAAGTGTTTACTTTTAAATTACCATAAACACTTCACACTGGGCAAAGGGTATGGCTTTACTTAAGGCCAACCAGAAGTCAGGGTCCACAATAGGAAAGCCCCTTTCTGAATTCATTAATTAGATATATTCTCATACTTTTCTTACCAATTTGAATCATTAAACTGGATCTAAGATCACCATTTTTCAGAGTTGTTAATATGTATGCTTCCAGAAACAATAATGTATTAGAATTTCTACAATGCAGATTTGTAACTTTTGAGTTAAGCTCTCCAAAATAGGATAGTAATTTTTTTTTTTAAAGATTTATTTATTTGTTCATACAGAACTAGGGTATAGACCAGAGATGCGGAGGGTGGGAGGAGCCACCAGAGACAGAGTGGGGAGCAGAATAGGCAGACTGTCGAAGTACACTGAGGGGAGCAGCAGGCAGGTCAGGAAAGGTCTGCTGCACCATGTGGTCACCTCTGGGGCAGGCGGGGATCGAACTCATGCAGAAGTGGCTTAAGCTTCTTAGTGCTGTGCTTTAACTTGCTGCGCCACCAGAGAGGGCCCAGGACAATAATTTTAAGTAGCTATAATTTTATTTGAGTTATAAAGATTTAGTTATGTTAATAAATAATTCTCCCAAATAGACGACTAAAAACTCCATTGATGAAATGTATTAGCAAAAAAAAAAGAAATAAAATAAAAACAAAGCACAACATGGTCTCTAACAAAATATCATCTTGTGCCAATCTAGTTCTTGGGAATAGCTATTTCCTGTTAAAGATCATTTTCTAAAAGAGAAGAGATAAGACAAGTATAAAGGGTTAACAAAGAGAGACAATTAGGCAGCCAACAAGAGAGAGCTATGATTTCTGAATTCTATGGTACAAATAGTAAGAAACTTGTGCTGAATGGTACTGTCTTTTTTGGATTATAATGCGCAAGGTATAGAAGGATAAATCAACCTATGATAAAGGATAAGGCTGGTGGGCTGAGAGAATTTCAGGATGGAAAAAGGTGGTCCTGAAACAGTCAACTGTGGAGATCAAGTCATGAAGAACCTAGCAGGCCAAAATAGCCCAAACATCATGTATTGAGTCATGAGGGTAGTTGAAAATTAAGGTAGGGAGAAAAAAAAAAAAACATTTCATGAATATGGAAAATTTATAGATACATTTTGATGTTTTCATACAAACATAGCAAAGCTAACCATTTATATATTCAGGTTTTACAATACCATAATTTTCCAGTTTTAAAAGTTACGAATAACTACAAAAGTGTGCAAGATGACAGAAAAAATTAGAAGTGACACCTGAAGAATCTGGTCTCCAGCAAGGAGTCTTCCATCTCGGGCAATTATTCCATCCCGATAGACTTCCTGGATAACGATGTTAATCAGCGGCGTTTCATTGCCACCCACAATGCTAATTCCCAACTGAATATAAGGATTGGACCGGTGGATTTCAATTGTGGTAATTTCGCCTTCTGGTAAGCTAAGAGGTTGTTGAGCACCTGTCAAGTTAAAAATGAGAGACAAAATGTCATTGAAAGGAAAATGTTTCATATTTTTATCTTTAGGCAAACAAGTCATCTTATATTAACAGATGATAAAGTGCAATACCACCAGATAATAGAAACAGAATGACCAAAAACATTTATGTTAAGATTATGTAAATATTTCCTCTTGTAAAGGTAATCAGCAAATAATCAAGAAATAGCTACTATGCATCAAATTACTTTGGAGACACAATGTTCTGATAAAGGATTATTAAGAGACTTGTCACCTTGTGCTAGCTGATAAGAGGAAGTTTGGACCATGAAACAACTGTAAATAACACAAGGTAGAAAAGACTAACTGTGGTATATAGTTAAGAAATAGTCACATCAAGCTCTAAAAACAGTGGAGTCTTGAACTGAGCTTCAGGAAAAGGTTGTAACTGTGACAAACGCATATTCCTCGGTAAAATTTGGAATTTATAAGAGAAAATGATATTTAAAGCAAATACCAGGCCAACTATTGAGAGCTGTTCCAAAATCAGTGACTCCAGGTTTTCTGTCAGTTTCCTAGTAGGCTGTTCAGTTAGCTTAGTGGCTACTATCAGGAGTGCAACAGCCAGAAGCATGACCTGGGAGTCTGATATATACCTGGCCACAGTTTGGCTGTCCAAACTGGACCAGTGGTCTGTCAAGGCTTGGTTTTCTCAGCTGTTACAAAGAAATCTCACAATATTGTTACAAGTATTTATAATCAGTTTATGGTTGGAAAGCGCTTGGCACACAGCCTGACAGAACAAGCATTTAATCTGAGGTATCGCTTTTGCTGTTTTGTTTTGATATTGCTAATTTCAGAGTCAAGAAGCAACAGGATTTTGAACACACAAACAGTAAGAAGCATGTTAATGCCTAGTGAATTCATGGACTACAGTAGAAGAGGGATAGGGAAGGGGCAACTTCTGGGTAAAATTCAAGCTCCTTCTAAAACACAAACTATAGAAATACCTTTAAGAGGATGGATTATATGGTGCTAATTGTGCCTCAATAAATTAACTTTTTTAAAGAGGGCAATAAAAACCATGCAGGGAGAGTAATAGAGTCCTGGGAAGGAGAGAAATGCTGATTTAAAAAGAGAAATGAAATACAAAAGAAAGTGGGCACATACTGTCAGCTGTACTGTTCTCCTCAAAGGCAGGATTGTCCAGGCCTGGCTCCTCCCACAAGGGAAGAGATGCTGGGGTCAAGTTTCGCTCGGTGGGCGCTGTGCCTGTTCCCAAACAGTCTGTTTCAGGCGGTAAAGCACCTGGCAGATCTATAAGAGTGGGTCCATTTTCATTTTCAAGCTCTGTCTGAGTTTTACTAGTTTTCCTTCTCTCTAGGGCAGCTCTCCTATGAGAAGCTCCAGGACATCTAGAAAAAAGAACACCAAGTGGTTTCCAGATGACTTGAAAGGAAAAAAAAAAAAGTGCTTAATAGTTTATATCAAAAAAGAATGAATGACAATGGCTTCTATGCAAAAGCATCTAGAAGTACCTACAGCAGTGCAACCTTGTGATTTTAATCTACATTTACCGTTCCACATAGCAAATTTAAAACAAGGGGTCAGCACAAGCCCCCTGGATATACCCCCTGGTATATATTTCACAGAATACTTGAATAAAACATTTTATTCAGGTATAACTAATATGCCAGAAATACATACAGCTCTTTCTATACTACAAGAATTATACTGGAATTCTGATTATATAAGCCTTTTCTACAGGTCAACCAGCTTAAACACAGGAATGGAATCAGCAGTTTCTTCCATACAAGCTTTAACATCCTGACTTAGACTCTGAGTGCCATTATGCTTCTACTCTCACAGCCAGTGTTACACTTTCATCTACTATGAGTGCCAATATATCTGAAGCTTTATAACTTACAGGAAAGTACAACCAAGGCACAAATAAGTTATTTATGATAGAGACGGAAGATGATAAAAACATATGTCCTAGATAAAATTAGTTTCAATAGTGTAATTATAGATAGGTTATGTAATGTGGAGACTATACTGGAAGTGCTTGGGAAACTTACATAAACACTAACTAATAAAAGCTTGCTTGTTCAAGGAAACAAAAAGGGTAGATACTTATTTAAACAAAGTTTTTTTCGCATATGATGTCAAGGTGCCAGTTCTTTTTCATCTACCAACTTGATTAGACAAAGTGACTCATGCAGTTTGAAGGGTGGGAGGAGAAGCGGATTAGTAAAAGAGAATCAGACACACATTCTGAAAGCCTAACACCACTGTTTAGACATCACTTGCTTTCATGTTGGGGTAAGGAGCAGAGCAAGGCTGGGGAGGGTGGGTGACAGTTTCATGTTCTGGTACACAAACTTTACAGTATTTTAAAAAATCTAAACATTACATCAAAATTAAGTTTAAGATTAAATCCAATTAAATTGAAAGTCACCTATAATGAATGACTCTTTTTAAGTCCTGGATTTCAAGTTCTTAAAAAGGCTCATTATGAAATTTCTTTATTCAGCATCCTCTCATTAGCTGTTAAGAGAGACAACTCATTTTGCTTTCTGCATTGTTGAGTGGCATGCTAGAGAATGTTCTTGTAAAGATCTGACAAATATTTTTGAAAACTGATCTCTGAAAAATTTGTTTTTAATCAAACATATTTCATTAGAAATGTTTTTAAAATACCTTATTCAATAAAAAAAATTGAGACGAAAACAATAAAAAATTATCACAATAAAGACAGGCAAAGATTTAATTTTCAAAATACGTATCATGCACAAATATCTACATGGGAAAGAGCTACCCTTCAATGGAAAAAAATGAACTAGAAACAGGATATAGAAATAGTACGTGAACATATAATGCAGAAGTTAGCCTAGGTAACAACAAAAATACCCTACATACTGAAAATACCCTACATACCTATATTATAGTTACTAAACATGCAAAAGTAAATTTAAAAAGGAAAATCTAAAGTTGTTAGGAAGGAAGATGAAGAAACAGGTACATTTAAAATTCTCAAAGAGATACAATAAATTGTTAAAGGGGAAAGAAGTAATGTGTTAAAATCCAAAAGTCTTTCTTAAGCATTAGAAGGTTATAGAGAGCAGCTCAGGGAATAACCAGACTTAAACACGACAGAACACCTGAGTAGTCTGAGACAGAACAACTAAACAGGAGACTGAGATAAAGATTTCAGACAAATGGAGAGATACAAAAGCGCCAAAATAGAAAAAAATGACCAATAACACAAACACTACAAAGGGGCCAACAGGACGAGGATCAGAATGCACTACTTTGCTTTGGCAATGAGAAGGTCATGGCAACGTACGACACTTTCAGTGATGAGTCAAAAGCCACACATTTCTGTTAACACAATGCATATATTCTACAGACACTGCATGATAAAAATTACTGGGATTAAAAGAAAGAGAAGATTAGACAGATCATTCAAAATCTGTGTACCAAGGGAATGGCTGATAATGGGATGCGGTTTCCTTTGATATGTCCTAAAAATTAGACTGCGATGATGGCTATAAAATTTTGTGAATATACTAAAAAAAATCCATTAAACTACATTTTCAAAATGGGTGAGTTTTATGGTAGGTGAGATATATTTCAATAAAGCTATTTAAACCTACTACTTAGGGGCTGAGTAGATTGGAGTACGCTTGGACAGAGACAAGTGCATGATCACGGACATCCCAGACCCACCATCCCTTAAGTTTCTAAACACTTAGAACTGAAAGGGAAAGGTGACTATACCATCTCCATTTCACAAATTTGAAAATTAAGCCAACATCACATAGTTATTCAACTGCACAGCCAAAATCCAAATGAATTCAAGTAGTTCAAAGACTCTTTTCATTATTATCATATTAAATTCATTCTATGGAGTTCTTTTTTGGGGCCTTAGGAAAACAAATTGAATTTGATACACAAATTTTTGAGCCCAGAAACAAAATGGATGCGTGAGAAAGGCCTTAATGAACATTAAAATACCAAAATCACAAATGAAAGTCTCTTACATCTTTTTAAGTAAGAATATTTAACAATAACAATACGAATCCCAGTTGGCATGGGGATAGATCGTGGATTATTCAAGCAGGTAATTCAGTGTAGCAGGAAGCTAGATAGCATAGAGGAAATTAAAAAAGAATAAAAACAACAGAACAGAAATGCACACAACATTTAATTAGATCAGGGTAGGCATGTAATCAGAAACTGAAGGTGGCTGTGGCGTTCTGAGATAGTGGACTGCCCTTAAAAAGGGCACTGGAGTCCAGAAATAAATTCACAAACATACCAGTGCCTAATCTATGATAAAGCAGCTATCGGAATACAATGGGAATAGGACAATCTTTTAAATGTATGATACTAGGAAAATTGGAAAGCCACACATAAAAAATGAAGTTGGAAATTTGTTAACTCCCATACACAAAAAATAAACTCAAGATGGATATAGGATTCAGATAAAAGACTTGCAACAATAAAATACATAGAAGAAAACATTGGTGATATTATTTCATGACATCGAAGAGAAAGATATTTTTCATGACTTTATGCTATGGCAAGTGAAATAAAATACACAATAATTTGGATTAGCTAAAAAGATTTTATACAGCAAAGTAAAATAAAAGGTGATTAAAAGGAAATCCTATGCAATGGGAGAAAATATTTACACAATATATAACTGATAGGGAACTCAAGAGATATAAAAATAATTCAAGAATACAACACCCAATTTATAAATGGGCAGCACATATAAACAGACAATTCACCAAAAAAGGATATCCAGGCCAACAGACATACCAAAAGCGTTCATTATCACTTCTCATAAGAGAGAAGCAGATTAAAACCACAATGAAATACTATTTCATATCCATACAAATAGCACATATTAAAAATATGTCCCAGAAGTGCTGGAGAGGATACAGGAAAAAAAGGATCCTTATCATCCTGTTGGGACAATGTCAGTAGGTGCAGTCATTATGGGAAGCAATCTTGGTACCTTAGAAATCTAAAAGTGGAAATTCGTATGACTCAGCAATCTCACTCTTGGGCATCTATCCAGAGAATAAGAAATCATCAACACAAAAATTCCTGTGTTCCATAATGTTCACAAGCAGTATCATTTAATAGCTAGGAAATGGAAGTAGCCAACATTTCCATTAGGGGATAAATGGATCAAGAAGAGGTGGTATATCTAAAGTAGGGAGTAACTAGTTAGTCTAAGAAGATACAATGCAGGCCTTTTCAACAAAATGAGGGTTTGAGAGCATTATGTGTAGTAAAGCAAGTCAATATGATACTTAAGAAACACTGGCCATTTACACAGCAGACATTTTCACAATGTGAAATACTTTCAGAAATCAGTGGACATCAATAAACACCACGAGGGCTTTGAGGTTAAGAGGGGACAGGAAAGGGAAAAGACAAGATATAAAGGATGGTGGTGAGGTAGAAATATATGAAATCTGTAAATGTTAATATCCAAGAAGTTAAAAATAATTAATATGAAATGAATCAGGGTTCTTAAAGAATGCAACCATTTGATCATTTGATGTTATCTCTATATAGTGATATTATCAACAGGTTTAAAATATATATATATATATACACACACACACATACATACATATATATATGTGTATATATATATATGTATATATATAAAACCTGGAAAAGAAAAAAAAGGGAGAGGGGGGACATTGGTGGTAGTGAGACCTACAACAGGCTGCACCTCCTGGAGGTGACATGGATGTGTGCTTTTAAATTTTTTAAAATAAAACCTTACAGCAGTCAGGGCCAAATCAAGAGGCTTTCTCTTTCTTACTGAAGGTTATACTTCCATTTCTACTATTCTGGCTTCCTATATGGAAGAAAAATTACATATGAACTAAGCTGAATTATGATACAGTGGCCTCACTGACTTACCAATGACTCATATAGGAACAATTTGATGAATAGAAAAGGTGTCAGCGTGGAAAAAAACTTCTTGAAAGGGTTTCTCTATGTTATTAATATATGAAATTTTAATAACAGTGTTAACTATAAGTTTTAAAAGGAAAAGAAAAATGATTCTAAAGCTTGCCTACTTTATATAGGACACAAATGAACAAGTTTAACAACAGCAACAAAAAAAATTAACATTCATGTTACCATAAACTTTAAATGTTAAATTGTTGAGGATAAGACAGGATCTGAGGGGAAGAGGAAGAATGCTTTACAGTTGATGGTGCTTAGCAGAATTTAGAAAGTAATTACTAAAATGGTATAATGCTTAGTACAGTATAGAGAATATTTCTTATGGGCTTTTCCTAGTTCTCTGTTAAAGAGAGCACTTTCCATTCCCAATTAAATTCTTCATTCTTTTAATAGCATATAATCAGTTAATTACTAGTAAATTTATTTTAAAATCATTCACTCTTTGTAATTCTTTTTACTTTTAGCTGTACAAGAAAATGTCAGTTGTTCTCAAAACTGAAGCAAATTTCTTAAGAGTAGAATTTCACTCAAATAAGGTAATTTTTAACTTAAAATTACCACATTTATGCAAACTATTCCTCACACTAATAAAGAGATTTCTAAATACTAAAAATTCAAGAACAAAGGTGCAAGACAATCATGTAACTTTTAAACAATGAATCATGGTTACTGATGCTGAAATTTTCTGAATTTCAATGAAACACCAATTTTTAACAAATGAGTGAAACTGTATATAGGGATACAACAGTCATAATCAAATTCTATGCTTCATGAAATCACTCTTATTGCTAGTTCTTGTTGCTTTTAAAACATGAGTGCAATTTTTTTTTACCTCCTATTACAAAGTGAAGTCTATGTTCTCTTCCCTTCAATCAAGGTAGACTAAGATTTTCAAATACAGTTAACAGCATAAGGGATGTCATGTATCTTCAAGCAAAGATCATACAAGGTCAGGCAGTGTTTGTCTTGTTTACTGGAACACTGAGCACCATGTAAGAGAACCTTAAATAGAGGCCACCTCTAGGCTCTTCAGTTGACAAGCCCCAGTTGAGCCTGTGTCTTTATAATCCCCATGCCAGACATGTGAATGAAGACGCCATCTTGGAAACAGATTCTCCTGTTCCAATTGTTGCAGTCCCTGGCTTTCAATTCTTCCCAGCTGTGGCCCAGATATCACATAACAGAGACAAATCATGCCTGCTATGCCCTGCCTGAATCCCTCACTCACAGAGTTCATGTGCACAAGCAAATGCTTGTTGTTTTATGTCACTATGTTTAGAGTGGTCAATTTCTCAGTACCAGATAACCAGACATACATAATTTAACTGAACAATTAATTGTCAACTTTGGGCAAAGGATTTCAAAGACTAGCAAAAACCTGGTACTGACCCTAAGGAAATTTGCAATCCAACAGTAGATTCTAACAAGTTATCAGCTTACAAATACTTATTTGGTACATAATAGATAATAAACATTTCTCCCTGAATTTATGATTTTTTAATCAAGAGAATAGAAAAAGGTGAGGCTGTTTATCACATTATCTGTTCAAATGGGAAATAAAAATTACATTAAATTATAAAATTTACCTTTTTATATCTTTATAATCAATAGTTTATGATCAATAATTAGCTGTCAACCACCTTTTCAAATCAAATACCTTTATCAATGTATCTTTCACAATATAGGTCAAAGACATTTTGGAAATTGTTAAATTAGTAAACTAATATTAATCAGCATATTTGGAAAATCAAAACACTAACTGGTCATAATTATTTAGCCTTATCAACTGAAAAGTGAAAGGACGGTTTGTAATTCCCAGGGTTTTAATATCATTATTATACTTTGATAAGTATTAATGATACTTCAGATACTTCAAATACATATTAAATTCTTCTAATGCAACTTAGATAAAGATTTGTGAAATTTTCTCACTATCCAAAGCATTAATATTGAGTTGGGACTTTATTCAATTCCTGTAGCATCCTATTAATGATGTTCATGAACAAGTTCATAAGAGAAACCTATCCCTTAAAAACAATAGTATTGCTAATAGAAATAAGGAAAGCTTAAATATTCTTCAACTTCAGTTATAAATAATCTTGACCCAGGCTAGTATATTCAAAAGCTGGGGTCAATTTCTAGATTCAGCTATCACGTTCGGATTTTATGTCTGCTGGCTACCAAAATGACACAAAAATAAGACTTAACCTGCATTTTCAAAAACCTATAAACTCTACCCTATACTTTTCTTTAGTTACTATTTATAAACAAAACTGCTTAGATTTCATCAATTTTTCCACACCACTTCACGTTTCTAACATTTTTAGAAACATCTTGTTCTTTATCTTAATTATTTCTAATGTTATATTCATTTTATGACACTGATATTTAGAAGCAGAATGAATATATATATTACTCATGTGTATATAAAAGTTTTATACTTTAGAGTAGTAGAGAACATGATTCAACCTGTTATAAAGTCAGCATGGTATACTGGACCAGTAAGTAAGATAATTGAGGTTTAAACCTAACTGTATCATTAACTAGTTCTAAAGCTTTGTGATTCAGTTTCCTGATTTGTAGTGATCGGATAATCTTTAAATTCTATTTTATGTGTTAGTATAATGACAAGCTGTTCTATGCCAAGCTATAGTATAATTTCTAAATTCAATACGTTTGACAATACACTGCTTTTCACAGAATCAAGATTACTGAAGATTTACATAGCACAACTGGCTTAACTTTGAAAAACAGAAATCAATACATTTGTCATTTTATGTGATTTTTACCTACTTATCACATAAGTACTTTAACCTTTCCTAAGGGTATAATGATTTTAAAGATCATCTCTCACTAAATTCATTTAAAAAACTCACTAAAAAGTTTAAAAAATTACTTAACCTTTTATTAGTAAAACAAAAATCCCCACTACATGTTTTAACATTTTCAGTCCCTAATTCTTATTCATTCCAGTTACCAAACACAGAATCTTTACAAGATTTTAGCAAAGAAAATCATGTATATTCATGTCCATGCTGCAGTAAAACTACCATTTTTACTGGTGACATAAAATCCCACTGAGTCAGTATACTATCATTATTTTAAACTCTTCCTCTACTGCCAAATAATTAGATTGACTCCAATTAATTGTACAAAATGTTAGAGTGAGTGTCTTTATATATAATTTTTCCTTCTTTTGAGCTACTTCCTTAGGATAATACAACACATAAAAAGATATTTACATTTACAGTTTTTGAAACAACTTGCTTTGTATGGAGGCTATAGTTATATGCTGCTACCATATAAATATAAAAGCCTATGTTACACCAGTGAAAACATTAATAGGTATTGGATGACATTTTCTTACTAAAGTTCTCATATTCATGTTTTATAATAATGCCAAATACTGTTTTGCTTTAATACTTACTTGCTGTATCTTTCCTGTATTAGATTTGTCTATTTATTTATTAATTCCTTGTTCTTTTTTCTATTCACTCCTCTTTCGCTTAAGCGAACAACCTTTTTATAAAACTAGAGTTTCCTTTCTTTCTTTCATATTTTATACTTACCTGTTTTTAAGATGTGCTTCCAGATCACAGCGTTGCATTACATCTTGGCACACTGAAGAAAATGGACATAACACTAATAACTTGTCCAGAAGCTTATGAACTAGAATACTAGACTTCTTACACAATTTAAAATGAAGTCTTTTCCGATCCAGGGGACAGAAATCTTTCTCTTGTAAGAAGTTCCTGAGGCACTTGCAGCAGAATGTGTGTCCGCAGGGGGTATCCAGGGGCTGCAACAGAGGCTGAAGGCAAATATGGCAGACCAGGTCGTCATCCACCTCGTTCTGGTAATTGTACAAATGGTTTTCTTTTGTCCAGTGCTGCTGACCACACTCAAAACACAAAGGATTGAAAGAGGAGGAGGTCTGTTCCACAGATACCATCTCATCACTTGTTGTTCCCATTTTGAATCAGCCAAGCAGTTTCTGTGTCTTCACATGTGAGACTTCTACTGAACCTTTGATGTTCCTTTGACAGTGATGTACTGAACTAAAATCAAGGCTTGTTTTACTAGATAAACAAAACAAATGAAAAAAGTAATTAATATCACTCAAGATAGGCTAAAATATTACAAGTTACCTTCCTATTCAGTAAAAAATTAACAGTCAAATCAGGTCATAGGTTAGTCATAAAGACAGAAAATGAAATTAACTTTTTAGTTGGATAAGAAGACCTACAATCCCAAGTTCTTAGGGAAAAAAGAACTTGTGATTGTAAGCAAAGATGTTATATATTACATGGTAAAACATAAGAATAATCAATTTGTTTTACTAACTGTCCCACATATTTCAAATGGTAGTTGTAAAGCTAACATAGTACTACTAAGGCAATTCATGGCATACTAAGGAATACATCTGCTTCTGTCACCCCCAGTCAGGTTTCTTTCCTTCTGACTGATTTTATGTGCACTATGTTTGGGGAAAAAAAAGATTTCCAAATATGCATGATGAATATTCTGTGTACAGATTATAGAAAGATAAATCTGCATAGCACATATAAATAAAATTTGTGCAAATTCCATAAAGGGCAATGCTATTTTATGCTATTAAAATAAAAAAACATGCTACATTCAATTAAACAGATAACATGTGCTATAAAGTTTCAATTCCATCTCATATTATTCCATATTTCCATTTGGTCTTGTCCAATCAGCAATTGTGTGTAAGTGTGTTTATGTGTGTGGGTCTCTTCTCCAACACAACAGTCTCCCCAAGTTCAGTGCAAGTCTGGCAAGAAATGCTGCTCTCATATAAGTATTTCCATATTTCTTCTGCTGCAACACCAGGGGTTAAACATCAACTTCAAAGGCAGCAGCTGACCGTGTTCATTCCTCTGTAAATATTTACAGTTTCTAATATGTGCCAATCATGGAACAAGTTTTGAGGAGAGTTAAGAAGACCCATTATTAAAGTTTAATATAATAAGTACTCTAAGAAAGTTCATGAAAAGGATGCTTTATGAATATAGATTAGAATAGCATCTATCTCAGTTTGGCTTAGTGCCCAGAAATTCTTCCAAAAGGGGGAAAAACATGAAGTGCTAAATTGCAATGGTAAGTATTAACAAGAAAAAGGGACAAGGGCATCTCAGCTAAGTTGCAGGGCCTGAGGGTACCTACTACATTCAGGGACTATGAAGCAGGTGAAAGTATCTGAAGTAAAGGAAACATAAATTACAACATAAATTATAGAAACTATAAAACTTAGTGCCCACAAGACAAAAGGAATCGGACACCCACATCTATTTTAAGGATAAATCCTTCTCTAGTCAAATATATGGACTTGCTATTTTACTTATTTGGAGTATTTACTAGAAAAACAGCATTCACGGTCTAAAGGATTTAACAAGAAATATCATGAATTATGGGGGAGTAGGGAACAGCACTCAGATGGATGGCCAGTCTCAGATAAATTTAATAAACTTACAGTAGTAGTCTAGATCTAAACTCCTATTAGAACCAACATTAACAGAGCAAACTTTCTGCAATTTTTTCTAATATAATAGTTTATTTTTACATCATTTTGTGTCTTTTTCTATCTTAGTTGTAATCCCCGTGGACTTCCCACCACCAAATCACCCATGTGCCATCAACATAGTACTTTCTGAATTTTTTAACTCATAGGGCTTTAAATCTTCACCCTCTGACCATGTTATTAAATCAGTACAAGATATATGTGATTAAGAAGAGAAACACGGTTTATCTCAGGCAGATAGATATTAATTCAATATTGGTATTTTAATACAGAATGTCTTAGACCCTGTTTCCTATTCAACTAGGAAAATTCACATATCCTTTGCTCTTCTTTGTCATACTGTTTATTTAAAGTTTTTCTTCTCAAGAAAATATACTGTAATTCTAGCCTCTCACCGAATGACTAAAGAAATATTTCTCTTAAGACTATAATATTTTAGCTATTTTTTTAAAAAAAGATTTATTTATTTATGCTTACAGAACTGGGGTACAGGCCAGAGGTGTGGTGGGTGAGAGGATTCATCAGAGACAGAGTGGGGAGCAGAACAGGCAGATCGACTGAAATACACTGCTGAGGGGAGCAGCGGGCGGGTCAGGAGAGGTCTGCCTCGCCATGTAGGTCAGCTCCCTGGCTGGGTATGGAACTTGTGCTGCAGTGGCACCTGAGAGCTTCATAGTGTGGTGCTTTAAACTGTTGTTCCATAAGGAGAGCCCTCTTTCAGCTATTTTTTAAAAAATCTCATATAACATTTAGTTGTTTCATTTTATCAAAAAAATCTTTTCACGAGGAAAAACATGTTCCTATTTAAAATACCAAGTAACAACTGCATTATCTCTAGCCCTGAAATACTTCTATGATACTATGAAACAAACAGTAGATGAAAAATTATCACTGCTTAGTAGATCATTAATGTATACATACAAACACTGATTAAAGAACTTCAAGGTCTATAACATAAAGCAGGCATGGACCTATGTCCTAGGGCTATTTAGTGAGATTTCAGATTTTATCTCAGTCACTAGTTTTTTGACCTTACTAAAATGTTTGTTTCCTTCTCAAGTGTAAAATGGGGGTGATAACAGGACCTATCTCAAAGGGTTGATAAAGAATGTTAGGATATATTTAATGTACATATGAGATATATATTGTATATATGAGTATATATACATACACACATATAAGCCATATGTATATAGATTTTTTTGCTTAAAACAGTGCCTGATACATAATGGGTACTGTATGCTAGCTATTATTACTAGTATTAAAAATAAACAAAGTTCAGACAGATTTTATGCTTTACCCAAAGCCACATAATTTAAATCACTTAGTGAGAGAAAAGGAAGATAAATTCGATTCTTTATCGCTTCAAAGTAACCCAGAGTAAATTAGATAAGAGGAAAGGCATCACATGAAGATTAGAATATAAATTTTCTTAGGACAAAGCAGTATTATGTTGTTTTTCCAATTCCCATTTCCACCCTTCTACTCCCAATCCAGACAGATGATTCTGTTCCCATTTTGTGCGCAAGTCCACTATACCTCCTTATACTACTTCTATTATGTTGTTTCTCACTGAACAATGAGCTCTTTAAGAGTTGGACCTCCCATGGGGTGAAGCTCAATAAATGCAGAATGACCAAATGGTTGACAACAGACTTGCACATTCTTGTTAAATACGCAAGTTTAGATGACCAGAAATATACTGATGTATATGGGAGAAAATATAAAATTTTTATTTTACTGTCTAGGAGCACAGTTTGAAATATCAAAATACAAATTAAGTAAATAATATTCAAATATTTCCCAACATATAACAATGAAATGGAGGATAATGTGTATCTTTGCAACTACACTATCTGTTTTAACAGATCAGGAACAGCAGAGAGGGAGAAGCTAATAAATTGGGAATAGCATATTTTAAGTGAGAAGGGAGTTATTGGGCACTGTTGACTACCTAACATCAGTTATGATTATTATGCTTGCTCTCCTGGTTTATAGCAGAAGAATATCCTGGTACCCCATAAAGACTCTCAGAAATAACTGGTTTTTTTCACAGCCAATTTGCAGGCTTCAAAACTGTATATTATTGAGATAATTTCTCTTGACATTTTTTATTTAGATTGAAAGTCTTCACTGGTCCTAACCTGGAAGGTCCAGTCCAGGAAAAAGATGATGCACTGGGTTCTCCCTGGTGGCACAACCGGTTAAAACACAGCACTTGGTACTCCCTGGTGGTGCAGCGGGTTAAAGCACAGCACTATGAAGCGAAAGCCACTTCAGCATGAGTTCAATCCCTGCCTGCCCCGGAGGTGACCACATGGCAAGGCAGATCTCTCCTGACCTACCCGCTGCTCCCCTCAGCAGTGTACTTTGTCAGTTGGCCTGTTCTGCTCCCCACTCTGTCTCTGGTGAAGCCTCTCATAGCCCCTGCACCTCTGGCCTGTACCCCTGTTCTGTATGCACAAATAAATAAATCTAAAAAGCAAAAACCAAAAAAACACAGCACTATGAAGCTCTCCAAAGCCACTACAGCATGAGTTCGATCCCTGGCCAAGGAGGTGACCCACATGGTACGGCAGACCTCTCCTGACCCACCCACCTGCTACTCTCAACAGTGTATTTCAGTACATCTGCCTGTTCTGCTCCCCACTCTGTCTCTGGTGAATCTTCTAACCCCCACACCTCTGGCCTGTACCCCAGTTCTGTAAGCATAAATAAATAAATTTTAAAACAAACAAAAGAATGATGTGCTAAGGACAATCACCAAAGTAGTTATGTGGGAAAGATGTATGATGCCTTGACTCATCAATGCCAACGCTAAGAAAACCCATGTCCTTCTGGCAAAATTCCTCTCATTCCTTACTTCTTATGTCAAACTCTACCTCCTCTGTTAAATATACAGCCTCCCGGGCCATCCCTGGGGGCACAGCGGGTTAAAGCACAGCACTAAGAAGCTAAAGCCACTTCAGCATGGGTTCGATCCCTACCCCAGAGGTGACCCACATGGTGCAGCAGGCCTCTCCTGACCCACCTGCTGTTCCATTCAGCAGTGTACTTCGTCAGTTGGCCTGTTCTCCCCACCTGTCTCTAGCAAAGCCTCTCACTGCCCCTGAATCTCTGGCCGTGCCCAAGTTCTATATGCATAAATAAATAAATCTTTAAAATATATATATAAATACAGTGTCCCTCTACTCTTGGGTACATCTACTTTCCCTTATGTTCCTGCTACTCTTGATACACACCTTCATTTTAGCAATTTCTGTATTTGCAGGCTTGCTTATCTGTCCTCTTCTCTCTACAAGGATAAAGATAGTCTCTACCTCTGGTAGTCTCATTTTCTGGTATATACCATACATTGAAAAAATTGTCTTAACACTTACTTCAGTCTGAAATGTGTAATATATATACATATATATACACACATATATACATACACGTGTATATACACATTATATACACATATACATATGTGTATATGTGTATATATATGTATACAGGAGAAAGCATTCTTTCTCTTACCACATTATCTCA